AGGCGCTGATTAAAATCGACCGATTTGTTCGAATAAGAAGCGGTTCGCGTTATCAGATCGAAGAATTATCCACCTCGACTGATCTCCGATGGAGCGTCAGCGGGTGTATTTTAAAACGAAAATTCCACCAAATATAAAAATACTCGCGCTAATCCTCTGCGATTCCGGCTCGAAAGTGGATTAAACAGAGGCGAGCACGTGTTGGGCGCGTCGCATTAAGGGGGTAGATTTAAAACTTTTTAAGCCGAAACATGTGTTGATTTTTGTGAAATTTACGACAGGATGGGTCCCCTTAAATAGTCTGGAGCGCGTCGACTGGTACACCAATTATATTAATTTTGAGTTACGAGATCTCCAATCGCTGATGATTATAACAGAAATTTAATGAATTTATAGCCCACGATTTCTAAAGAAGGAGCAAAACTCCCTCGATATCGAACGAAACTCACTCCCCGGATGAATTCGAACGACTTGCCCCGCGACAACCGTGAAATATGTCTTTATAATTCATTAAATCAAACTATATAATGACAGGGAGAGGAATATAGCGGGGAATTAAAGCCAATTACCGTACCACATTGCCATTTGTCACGGCATAAAGCTGTAAAATACAAAGTGACATAATTTTCTGTACGGGAAATATAACTTTACTAGATGTTAAAACCGAGAATTTGTTACTACTCGCCCCGGCATGCGATTCGTGCATTCGATATTTCCAATTCGTGCATATGCAAAAGAAATGCGCTTCTAATCAAGCCAACCACACAAATACAATATCGCAACGGAAAACATTACCATAAAAGCATTCGAAAATTTACAAATCCTAGTTTATTACAATGACTATCTATAACTTCATTTTATTCTACACTATTAACCTTTAAAAAACACTAACATCATCTTTAAATTTCGACATTTCTATCTCCTCGTCTCCATCTTCAGTTTCGCCGTAATTTTCGTCTTTATTGGATTAGGGAGTTTCGGTACGTGGTTATTAAAATTTCGTGAAAAAAGAAGAGCTTACGCGAAACACCGGACTGGATTTTGCGTGTCGTATATTTAGCCGGTAATTGTCGGTGGTAAACAAAGCTCGTTAAGGTAAATTGTCTTTAACAGTTCGTGAATCGAACGCGTGAGGTCGCATTATTAAAGGGTCATTCGTTATCGAATCGGATTCGGTGCCGTAAGGACTTTACTTTATTTTTTTTTAGTGGGTTGAGACGACTTATTTATTTAGCCTCGATGTTATTGATGCCAACGGTAACGGTAATATATCGTCGAGTACAAGGAGGATTTTCCAGCTTTAACCGGGTCGTTTAAAAAGTCGGAAGAGGATAAATTAAACACCTATCAAACGATCGAGTTATAACGAACTCTCTAATAAAGTTAAAATGACTAACATAAACAGAGCGCAAATGCTCGCCAATGAAATTACCCGGTTAATTTCTACCTTCGAGTAAATATAATCCGGAGTCGATAACATTCCACGGCCGGCCGACGTGTATACTTAACCCTCGAAATCAATTATCATAAATAGCAGTTCCCACAAATTTCGTCCATAAGAAACCCAAGCTTAGACATCCCCATTCGATATAATTGCGGTACTTCGGAATTAATCATTTCTTTAACGATCGCCAAACGATTATTAACATCGTACGCCAGTAATTGCCGATCGATTGTTACCGTTTATAAATTCTACCTACTTTTATAGAAATAAAAGAATCGCTAGTTAAACTAATGTTTTATAACTGATAAACAATTATATTTTTAGCTAGGGTGGTGGTTTGATTAAGGTAATAATTTAATTCGATCCGACTCGTTTCGAAAAGAAATCCAATCTCGTTTTGCATAATCATTTGTCAATGACAAAACAGGAGATTATTGAGCCGCGTGGGTTCTTGTTAACCATATGTTCGCCGTTTCCTCATAGATAAACCGTTTGGCTCAGTAACATATTCAATCCTTACATACCTAACTTTATTTATAAATTATAATTTACCACTAAAACGTTTGTATAAATACTTTAACAATCAATATATGTATTAGAACAAACGCACGGCGCGCATCTATCGCAATCCAGCAGGACGAAACGTCCGAACGTCCTTGAAGAAAATAAAATATCCCTTTTTAATAGGCAGTAGGTACTTATCGTAATCGAATTCATCGCGGCATGGGATTATTTCGAATAAAATTCCGGTCGGAACGACGGCAATGCAAATATAATTCCTTTATAGACGATTATCTCTGTCCGCTTCCACCGTGGCCTCCTCCATAATTCATAATCAATTTGGGTTCGCATGACGGGGAAAACAGATTCGGTAAGTAAACACACAAATTACACAGTTAAAGATACTTAAGTCGGCGTTCGAAAGCAAACATACGCCGAACATGAACATCGATGTAGGTATAATGATGGAGACGATTCGCAATGGCAAAACGATGTGCGTAAACGAATGTTCGCCACAATTTCAATTCAACTTACACTGAATCAATAAATAATTAAACAAATTATATAATTTATTTGGCGCTGTCAATAACAGTTTGCTGTTTTAAATTGCAATCGAAATTAAAATGAACAGGTATTAAAAGTTAAAGTCACTCCGCTGATGGAAATTGTGCATCAATCCAAATGCAACATTTTATTGTACCAACGAGAATTCGAACGAAAAAATCCCTCTCGTCTAATTGATTAATTGTATGCGTTTTTTCCAACCCTATCTAGTAAAAAATGCTTCATCAATATTAACCGGGCGGTTAGTTAGCGAGAATTATTCATTTTAACAGACCTAACTGCTCGCTAATATTCTGATTAAATCGACAAACAACCGTTTCCCGACTTAATTCCAGCACTGCGAACTAAAAACACAATGTAACTGGACAAAATCCATATCTAACCTTGAGAAATTAATTAACTCATCTTACTTACAACAGATAATTTTAATAATACCCCAACAAATCCAACAGCTTACAAACACAAAACTAACCCCAAAATAAGCCGTAGAATACATTATTAACGCTCTATTTAACCCTCTATTTAATACCATTGAACGTCCGAGGAGATGAGGGACGCAAAGGATCAAGACTCCAATATATTGAATCTTGAACCTCTTGTAAAATGCATAAGATAAGACACGGGTATAGCGGTTACGAAGGGTCGGGCAGTTTTGCAAAGGTAATATTCGGACCGAAGTGCCGTTTAATTATACAACAACTATCTTGTTAGGGGCTGAAACGCCAACGTTAACCCTACACAATCGATAATATTAATTTAGTTTAGAGTAAAATATTGAAACTTCTGTTCCTTATATCAACTCACTAAATAAAACATAACGACGCCCGATCAACAGAAATTACACAACACCGTATTTCTCCGAGTATGGTGTATACTCATAGCGCGAAGTTGGCAAGGACCCGATCCTGGTGTAATCAACTCTGCGATAGACAGCACCTGCGGCCAACAACTCTAACTAGATTCATTAATCTCGAACCTCCATTACGGCGCTAATTGATGGGCTAACCCCTTCCAGAAGGGTTAATCATTACGAATTGACACTATATGAAAGTTGTAACTTCTTGCGAACGGCCGGCGCCGTCCAACAGACTTCATTAATGCCAACTGCTCCGGAAGGTGGTGTGAGAAGGGAATACGATTCGGATTATAGGGAACGTGCTGAGAATTCGTTGCATTCGATATTGGAAATTTCGTTAACAAAAATTACGAAGCGGCAACTCCGCTGTGTTGATTAAATGTTATACGATACGGGGGTTGTTCCAACCACAATTCATCACTCGAGGAATCCTCGTACAGGACCCGTAATCATCACTCGGCAGTCGATAAATTTTTTCGACAAAAGGCATGTGTCAAAACGCGAGTTAAAGCTGCTATTCCGGCAATTACCTCTATAGGTACAACAAGAACAACGAAAACGTATGGAAGCGTTTAAGGACTTAAACGTTCCTCCGAGATGGGCACAAATCATGCGAACCGACCATCAAAAATTCGAATTCTAATAGATATAATAACCGCCGGAGTCGTGGGCATCAAAATTATATTATTATGCAGTGACGTGCTGCATCGAGAATTATCAATGAATCCCAATGTGGTGGATTATTAAAAATTCTCCAGTTCTACAGAATTTTACAACACTCTTAAACTATATTGGAAATTCTTTAATAATCACAACCTCATGTAGATTCTAACTAATTGTAGGTGTACCTAAATATTTTGAGTAGATATAATAGTAAATTTAAAGCGCTTGAATATAAACGCCACTGTGCTAGATTAAACTATTATTTTCGTGTGGTGCGTTCCATTTAATTCGGCAAATTTAAAAAATGCTTAACCTCGTAGTTAAGGCTAATAATTTCGCCCGTAGGCTCGTAAAAAACTAATCGTTACGGGCCCGGTAATTATGCTTAATATGAGGTGCACAACAGAAGGTTATAACAAATCGCTCTTCGTAGGGTAAAATCGAACCGTTTTTCTAGAAGGAAACTTTAAAAAACTTATCTATACAAGCATTCCTTTAACCCACAGTTTGTATACCAATTCTCCGATTGATCAATGCGAAAAATTCCTTCTCAACTCCACCTCGATCCGTCTTTATCGCCATCGAGAAAACTCTTCCACGTGTCCAACGTTTCGTATGCATCGCAAATTGATGAGCTTCGTAACGAAATTGGACTTGATGTGGTTCCACCAAGCGGCAGGTGATCTGACGGGCGGGACCACCCATGGTACCCGACTGCATTGTGTCATTGCGCACAGGTGGAGAGAATTGAATTGTGTGGTAGCCGAAAGTGTCCCGGATGACACGAAGATCGATCGAGAGATGGAAACTAACCAGCAAAGGTTCTACAGGATTGTCCCCAATTTTGGTTTCTTGATGCTTTTGCAGGAATATTTAAGAAAAACAGTGCAATTTTATATACAGAATTTGCAAGAGTATCCAAACAAGAGTTGTTAATCTTTGGGATTTGTTTAAGGATTCTTTAAGATTAGCCAATAATTTTAATAAACAACAGGTTCTTAAAGATGTTGCAGAAATTTGTGTAACCTCCCTTCTTCCTCCATAACCATCAAAACAAATTCTATGTGAATAGTGAATACCTGGTGACTTAATGAAGGTAAAAAGAGCTTATTTGTATGTCTGTTCCCATCTCTAGCAAGAGTTCTTGGGGAACTGTCGCCGGTCTAATTGCCGAATTTGTTATTTTTGACGTTCGGTCGTCATTTGAATTAAAACCGCGTTACGTTCCCTGTTATTTTTCCGTGTTTCGATTTAATGGAAGGCGTTGTAGTGACTGTGGAAATAAGTCGGGGAGTAAGTACCTGTCGTGTTTTATGTAAATAAACGGTTAAAAACGATAAATTCGTTTTGTTTGTTGCAGACTCGAAATGCAGGACCGGTTCGTTTAGTATTTCTATATTTTACTCACTAGATAGATCAACGTTTTGATGATACGGCAACGCCGCGATATTTCAACTAGTGGAATTAACAACATGGAAGTTTTGTTTAGTGTTTTGCGAAAATTTCAGGAAACAATCGAAATTTACCCTAATCATACTTATCCGGGGCGAGTCCATAATGCCGATGCGACCCCCGATGAATGCTAATATAATTCCGAATTAAACTTTTTGAGCTGTAAAACTCCGGCGGAATTCGCTGAGAGTTTCTTTCTTGCGAACCGGAATAGAACGAGACAAGCGCGGAAAACATTCCAACAACGTAGACACTTTGTGAAACTGTAATTAGCAAATTATGTTTCTTTTTTTCTCTACCATCGTATTCCTCCGTTTGCATAGAAAGCGCCGGAGAACGAATTAAATTGACGGAAAGTATACTCGGTTTTTTTTTGTTCGTCGGAAGGGTTGCTGAAAGTTTACTGATGGTTTTATTTTCAGCTGGAAGTTCGGCGAAGATTTTTTGTTTCTTATTCGAAGTTGCGGATTTCGCGAGATTTAACTTCGGAAATTTCCATCAATTTTTCATTTCGTCCTTTATTACGTCGCGAACGCTCACTTTCGGTCTCCATATGGAAATTCCGCCCCCGTTTTATAGCATGTCACGTATAATGAACCTCCTTCGTACATGACAAAATAATCCCGTGAAGTATATAAAGCTTATATTACGCCAAAACTGGATTCCTTAAGTACATTAATCAAGATTCAAGGAGCAAAGGTCGGAGGCCCGGGGCTTACTTAATACTTCATAATTATTATGAAGCGCCTAGTGTTATGCAAATTAAACGCAAAATGTGCCGCTCGCCTTCAAACTCCTCCAAACGAATATGCCTCCTTAATACCTGACACATTTATTTTTCATCAGATCCGACACCCGAATATTTCACTTTGTGCACTGTAAAAAAAACATTGCTATATCTTTTCATTCGTCGGCCATCAATCTCTTCTATTATACATATCACACACTTCCTAACCTTGTTCTCGTTTCTGTTGATTTCGTTGATACATCCACGTCTTTCGACCATTGTTCTCGTTTTAGTTTCTGCAACGGATTAATTACCGTCGATGAAAAAACACGCGAAAGGTGTTACGAATGCAAATATTCACAATAGACATATTTCCACGGTTATTCGCCATTAAGTAATAAATCAACTCGGATGAAAAGGAGTCAGTTACATCAGATCGACGAAATATCGATATCGAGGCGGCTTTTTATTAGTCCATTCGATGCGAATCGGCGGAAAATAAATTAAAACGAAGACTACTCTTATAAGAACGAGTGGTAAGTTATAATAGTAACAATAGAAGCACGTGTATTAACAGCTGCTCTCCACGAAGCTGGTGTAGCTTATATAACACATGTACCCGGCGACTTGTTAAGTGGAAATATGCGAGCTCTAAACAATGCCAGATGAATGCATTGTAAGCGGGTACTCGAGAGGCGGATATTGCGCTTATAGCGAATGCAATTGCAGTAAAAAAATGGCAAAAATTTGTGGAAATGCCGAACTGTTGTTCGGTTTTTAAAGGTAATTAATCTAGTTATGATTAAATCCGATGCGAACGAAATACAGCACGTATTTACAGCGAACGCGATGCGAATGTGTCAAACAGAATATATTCAAACTAATATTGATATTGATTTTGCAAGCGACATTTGCATTGATACAATGGGTCACAATGTATAACAAATATAAAATTAATCAGTTAGATGTAAACATAATGGCATATTCTTTACAGCATTGTAAAGTGTATGAAGAAGAGATTATTTCCACTGAAGAAGACTATATTTCCTTGAGGATTTTGCAACCCCCTGACCCAAATACAAAAATACCTACATCACTATCCCGAACTCCGACACTTCCATCGATAAATCACCAAATCCATCGCGATTTTTATGTTTCTCTATATATACATTGGGGCAATTATCTGCTCTCTTGCAGGCAACAATTTATGATCTCCTTTTTCCGACCAACCAAAGCGCAAAGTGGTCGGGAGCGAATATTTCCCGGGCGATTTTTCCGTTTTATTTTCCGCGTTGTCGCCTTGGGCCGCGATAAGGGTGAAAGATCGAATTCTCCCATGGCAAAAAGCCGACGGAACTCTTATCTGGACCAAGAGTAGGTCGAAGTTTCGGCCAAGTTTTTCGGCCGCGAATTTACCGAGGAGCGGAGCTCGTGAATTATGGAGCGGGATTTTACTAAACGCTCGATACTATTCACCCTAGTAGTACTAATTTTATTACTTTACAGGCTACTCCAAAAGTTATGTTTCATAGTATAAGTAAATAATTATAGTGAGTTGCATCTGGTGGATGCGATGGATGGGCGAAGAAAATCTCGATTGACCCGCTAGTAATTTTATTTTGTAAATTATTTAGCATATAAAACGTTGATTTAAAATTTGAATACGCATTTATTATCATGTAAATATTATCGCAAGCCTTATTGTACCTATAATGCTCGGAAACTGTTTACTTAATAAGGCGTAAGAAGAGAAGAATAGCGTAAAGAAATTTAACCTACGGTTAGCGTTAGCTTTGGGCGCAAAAATAAGAGAACGGGAGAAAATAAAAGCGAGCGGAGAGAGCCCGCCCGAGTTCCTGGGCGCTCCTCATTTGCATCGAACATTAAATTCCTAGCAAGAAAAACAAAAATTAGACGATACAGGCACTCAGACGAAAAGAAATAACATCAAGCCGCCGGCATTACTGATGTCCCGTGACATCAACGGGGCGCTTTGCATACTTTTAATGGTTATTCAAATATTTACCGCCTTCCCTCGGTTTTCTACCCGAGGGAAAACCGACGACGGTGCATCAGCGGCGGGTGCACTACCATACAAATTGCTAGATAATTTTTTTAAAGAGTAATCCAAGACTTTTCTCCCCATATCTGCGATAATCCTGTACTGTACGTTGGGATTATTTGGGGGAGTTTTCTTGGAAAGTGAATCTAATTTTAACGAAAAAAATATCCCTTTTATTTTGTATACAAGTTATTAGGGAATACCTTGTATAATTGTGGCCTGAATTCACTCGCATTGAATAGAATATAAATAGTTGGTTCTTAAATATAGCAGTACATACTTTGGAGCCGAAAACACATTTGAATAATTTGTCAAAAAGGCGAGGAAAAATGCGCCGGTGATATACAGTTGTTAATAAATTCGTTTCGAAATACGCGAGCGTTAATGAGTAAACTAAAGTTGACAGATAAAAAATGGGTTTCATGTCGCAGGCGATTCGTCAAAGCGGCGATAAAATTCTAATTTCCTCTTCTTATTTTTAATATAATTCATATTAGACGGGTCGTTTGTCGTATCCCGTTTGGAATGTAAATTCCCGGACGAAAAAATAACAGGAATTAATCTAGTACACCTGCAATGCCTCACGTGCCTCTTCACCGGAGCGTAACATCCCCGATAACGCGGAAAAGCCGCCGCCGCCGCCGCCGCCGCCGGAACGCACCTTAACTACACATAGATGTAGAATGTAAGCAAATTCAAACACAATCGTCTAATTTGGGGAATTCAATTTGGGAAACGGTGTTATCGTAGCGGAACGGAGGCGGCGAATTAACCGCCGCGCACGGGGCGGCTAATCGGAACGCCGACGCTTTAACACACCTATCGCAAAGGATACTTCCCCCTAAATCCACCACAAAAACATCAACCGCAGATCCCCTGCGAATATCGGCCTACACGACCACCAGACTCTAGTCCATTTGTCACGAAGAATTGCAAAACTTTCACACTTCAAATCCTCGAGTTCTTTGTTCGTTAATGCTGTTTGCCCAATGATTCAGGCATGAGCCAATCAATTTTGCATAAAACGAACGATTGCGTCGTCAAATCGGTATCGACGATCATAAAGCGTAGCCGTTAACAATACTACTAAAGGTTTATTGATTCCGATCGTAACGATGTTAATTTTCATTCTGCGCGTCACAATAAACGCTGGAAGATCGAAGTAATCGGTAAAAAAAGAGATATTACTAATGAACGTAATGGTGTTGATGTTACTGGTCTTAATGATACTGGAGATGTTAATGAAATTAAACCAGAAGAATGCGTTAATGAAGTTAATGGTGTCGATGATGAAATTGCAAGAATCTATGTCGGAAACTCGTTTGGTGAAAGTGAAGATATCAGATAATTTCGTCGTACATTTATGCGATTGCAACGTTATCGCTTTGTGTACTTCGAAAACATTAATTTCCTCTAAAAGGTGTAGAAACGTAATGAATCAAGACCCGTTACGTCAACCGGCGGTTTAATTGACAGTCCGATTAGCGGATTAATGCGGCTCGTTTAACGATCGTTGATATTTTTTCTATTTACTTCGCCTATTATTTGTCAAGGGAACGCTCGGGCGAATTTTTAGAATAAAGCGAAGAGGCTATGGTTTAGCGCTTCGGAATGTGGAAGAAGTTATAATTCCATTACGGAAATTAATCGGGGATCGGTTGGGCAACGAAGTGTCGGCGACATTTCGTCGAGAAACAATCACGCCTACTGAATAGAAAGCGAAAATTCGAATCCGGTAAATTCCTGATTTGAAATGTCGCACAGCGTGTACGCGAAAATGATTTATAAGTCACTCGGTTACCGGCTCGATTTGTTAATTCTATGCTCGTGATTAAAAACGATTTTTTTTCTTCATTTTTCTACGACCACATATTTAAAAAGAGGTTCGTTATAATGCTAACTAACCGTGATACATTCATAAGAGGTTTATTTGCCTCTAATTTCCAAGAATGCATTAGTAGCTTCTATCTCGCGTTGAAATCGTACATAATCATATTCGCGTAATTAACATGAAACACCGCGAATTATAATTACATATATTCGAAGAAACGTACGTAATTATATTCTTTGCGCTAATGGTATAAAATTATTATCAAATTACGGCGACTAAATGAGAATTAAAATGTATTTGAGAATTACTAAAATTCGGCGTTCAATTTATAATATTGCGAATTATAAGAAACTTGTTACCGGAACTTTTGTTTTACGAAAAAAAATTAAATCGAGTTTAATTAATAATTAAAAAAATAAGAGTTCGTCCAGTTTTATAATGACGCTATTCGTAATTAAATAAGCAGAACGTGCAATTACGTCGTTCCGGTACATTAAGAATCCAATTGGACATACGGGATGGAATTCAAACATTCATTTTATTTGTAATTGAAAGTTAATGACACGAACAGACACATTTTACAAGGCCGATGTATCAAAAAAAAACGCCTTGGGCCTTAATGAATCCCCTACAACCCCGAGGCGAAATTAAAGGGTAAATTTTGAGTTAATTTTAATACGAAAATTGTTGCTGAACGAAAATTCACGTGAATTTTTGTAATAAACTA